CTAAAGAGCTCCTATTTGCCTATCACTGCTCTAGAAGTATAGTAGATTTTCTAAGCTCTTACAGAGAAACTTACTAAAGCTCCTATTGTGCTGAATCAAGCACTCTACAATTTCTCTCTCACTTGCTCAAATATATTTTAAAAATACTATGAGGGAAAAAAAGATGGACCACTTTTAATTCCTTGATCTCTCTTCTAATCCATCATGACAACTCAGAACAAAAAGCAATTCAGACATAATATTTATAATAATTTAGAATTGGTATTTCCTTCACAGAATACAGTACAACCATTGGGTCAGATCCTTGGTCCTTATTTTCTTCTGTAATGTGTCATCAAAAGATGAATGATAGAATGTTTGGTAGCATGAAAGTGGTTGTGGGACTCGGAAGGGAAGGATTTCAGCTATAATTTCCAGTACGAATGCTGGGAATTCAGTTTTAAAATGTAATGCCTCCAAAGTCATATTTTCTGTCTGAGATTATAAAGTCAGGATAAAGGACTAAAATAATCTAGAATGCCTCCCCATTGGGACACAATAGTGCAATGTAGCCACTGCTCTTCCTTTGTGGTTTTAAAATGTATTTATCATTGTGATTTCACACTGAACTTCACACTGAGTTACTAATCCTGCAATCTTGCAATCTGTATCAGGTGAATAGTGGAAATGAGAGGTAAATGACAGGTAAGCAGTTATTCAGTTATTCATATCCATCAATTTTAACAAAGCCAGGCAGATGTGAGTTCTTAAATATATTTTAAATATATTATTAACAGCAAATTTGAGTAAATGCATGAAGAGAAATAAAAATATCACAAGTAAACAACAAAGTTAATAGTAATGTAAAATAAATACAGTAATAATACTCTGCCAATGAAGAAAATGCAAACAAGAAGGAATGATTTCTTAATACCATAAAGGTTTTTTCTGTGTGATGTAAAATAAGGTAATCAGGTATTTCTTAGCCATTCTACCCTTTAAAGACTTTTATTCCCAAATGTGTTGTAATCCACCCACCCCACTTCATAGAGAATGTTAATTAATTCAGGCTAATTCGTAAAAATATAGAGGAATGTGAAAATATAAGAAAAGCTTTGGGAGGAAAGTTATCTTAATTCTCAGGAATATACGACACTTTTACATTAAGAGAGGAAAGCTCTTGTAGCCCAATCCCAACTTGGAAATCCTCAGCACACACTAACAGAAAGCTAAAGTAAGTTTTACCTCAAGGTAAAAAAAAAAAGTTCCTTGTTAGACAATGGCCAGAATACAAGATCTATCCAATCCAAAATCTTTGTTTGTGCCTAAGAGGGAAATTTTGAGGAAGAAATTCAAAGGCACTTTGTAAAACATGCATATCAAGATCTTTACAGATACACACAGATTTTACTGAGTTTGGAAGTATTCTTTTTATACCTTTACATCAAGGTAGACATTCCTATTCTCAGAAGACAAGCTTATATCTTGTAGATTAATGTTTAGAGAAGCAGATAATCGAGCCACCAGTATTATAGAATAGATACCTATAGATCAATGAAGGCATTTAGAAAATAGATTCAGCACATAACCATGTGATATACAATGAACTCAAAATTGTCAGTCAATTTTTCGTATTAGAAACTTGAAAACAAATATTTTGATTATTTTCCAAGCGGAAAGCCCTTTGAACTGAAGTTACTCTCTGCTCAATTGTGTCCAATTGTAGAAATCCTTACAGTTCCCCAACTGCATGAAAATCATCATCATGCACACTACTACAGAGCAGCTTCACTGAAGGAACAGTGACAAAGGGATAATATGTCCAGCACCATCTTCAATCAGTTATATCCTCCTTCTCCATTATACACTTTTGCCATTCTTTTCCCCTTAAAAATTGGGGGAAATTTTTTTTTAATCTGAATTTGGGAAAGTGGAGAACTATAAAGCAAAAGACAAATGAACATATCAAATACTGGGATCAGACATTTTCCTCCAGTCTAAAGAATGACGATGAGGAACTCGCTTTGCCTTATCCTTCGGAGAATAGAAGAAATGCAGAGCTACACCATATGTAGAAATGGCCAATGGAGGCCGCCCTTTTGTTATAACTTATAAATGCCACTGCTTCCTCTTTAAAGGCAGACACCCACAGCTGGAAACTCCTCCAAGTTAATGCACGGCCCCCTCCCCAGAAGAGCAGCCACATGAGAGGTTCATTAAATGTTTCTAGCTGGCAGAAAGCCAGAAACCGAGCTTGTTTGTTCTTCATTCCAATAAACAGTCTGTCATGAACTCCAAGAGCAAAATCACAAGGAAAGCTTCGATTTTCAGAAGAAAAATCATATACACAAATATAAACCCAGCAGTTTACTTCTTACATTTTTTTTTAAAAGGCCACAGTTAAAACTGGCAGGCTGATTTGATTCTCCTAGGAGGCCCTCTGAGTCCCAGGACAATTATAATACCTTATCCATAAACATGATTACATCATAACTTAGGACATGGAATAGTAACAACACAGTGTTTGTTTCAAATGCAATGTTGTAGCAAAGTGAGATTTAATAAAATCTTGGCTGTATCGCAGCCCCTACACCCTTCCCAAGGCTCAGCTAAAAAGCAAAATAGCAATAATGGCATTATCCTCTACAGACATTTGTGAGCATTTAGCTGCAACGTAGCAAAAATTAACCTCAAGCGCACAGAGCAAATATGAATGTGAAATTCCCTCCGAGAAATCGGGTATGCCCAAGCTGCAGCCTGGGAGCAGGATGTTGGTTCCATGAGCTATCCTGCCAGCCCCCATTTCAGTCAATGGGCAAGGGGGGAGGGAGAGGGAGAGGTGAAATCCTGGAAAAGTGTGAAAGGAAGTTGGGTGGGGGAAGGGGGAGAAGCCCATGCTGTGCCTGGTGCTTTAAATGTTTGGCCTGGCTTTGGAGGGAGAACACGTGACTTTCTGCTTGAGGAAGCAGCAGCAGCTCTGGCAGCTTCCAGCGGGAGATGGAGGAGGAGGACAAGGAGGTAGTAGTGGCAGTGGTGGTGGGGGAAGGGAAACAGGAAAGGAAAGGACTTGTTTAAAGCAGGGATTGCTGCAAGCTAAGGAAATAGATTCAGCCAGACAACAGGTAGGGGGCAATGGCGGAATCAAAGAGGTGAGCTACTCAAATATCCAGCATCAGAGCAGGCAGGCAGTTCTGGCTTTCTGGGAGGAAGGAATGGTGGTGCTGCTCTATACACATTGAAGGAATTTACCTATATCTGGAGCAAGGAACATGATGCACTGAGACAGACAGCTTGGGAAATACTACCTGGATGTTTCACAGCTGGCAGAATCTCAGCTTGGAGCTGAATGCTTTGCAAGAATTGCAGGAATTCTCACAGAGAGAAACCGTATCTCTGTCAAACTACAGTAGAGGACATCATCCCTCATACCTGGAGACCTGACATATATGTCAGACTTGCCTGTTGAAAAGAGCCTATCCATGTATGTACTCTGCGTAGCTCATTTATTTCAAGCACAGAAGCATGGAATCACCATGTTTCTAAGGAAGACTAATACCTGAATTGCATTTCCAAATTTTGGAACATATCTCATCCTAAATTTAATCTTCTTTACATTTATATGTCGTCTAGGAAACACAAATAGGATGGTTTTACATTTTACAGCTAAGGTCATTCAAAGACTAGTACTATTTATTATTAATTTTATTTGCCACCTATCTCACTGTGGGAGGCTTAAAATACTGTAGGCAGCTTAAAATTGTGGGACAGTGGAAGAAACACATAATGCCAATATTCAACTGTCTTGGATTGTCTCAGAAAGCTAAGCAATGCTAGCCGTGGTTGGCACTTGGATGGGAAATGACCATGGAATCGCAAGGCTGCTCAATTGAGAAGACAACAACAGAATGCTTCCACACTGTTGCCAAGCAAACAATCAAGACATGTCCATAAACTCACTAGGAGTCAAGCTTGACTGAAGAGAAATGCTGACTTTTTTTAAACCTAACAGTATAGCATTTCCTTCTAAGTTTCATGTGAAAGAGCCGAGTACATTATAATCTACTCAGCACTGATGAGTCTGTATCTATGCCAACCGTGTTTAAAAGCTATGCAGGTTCCATTTCCTAAAGGTGGAAGATGCCTGTCCATCCTCCACATTAACAGACTTTATCATAATCTCTCCCCTCCCAGGCCACAAAGGCCAACTTAGCAATGCAAAGAGCTATCCCTTCACACAGCTCCTCCATCAGGGAGTGAAGCTTTTCCCTGACACAGCAGAGCAAACCCAATAACCACATCCTTGAGAATTGGCATGCCTTCAATAACAGGCATTTATAACCCTAAACAGAAGAAATGTTTCAGATTTCAATGTCCATCTTGAAGGAGAGGCCAGAAAACCAACTTGACACAGCTGCATCCTTCTGCTATGAACCCAAAATACTCCTGGCCAATGCTCTGCCCATGCAGAGAAGCCCTAGAGAATAGGACCCACTGAGGACAGGTCCCCCCTTACCTATTTTTGTAAGATAGATATAGCTTGCACATAACCTCTTCAGTTTACCTGCAGCATACTCTGAGTATCCCAGACCCCCTTTCCTTCTCCCCGAGATTGCCGTCCATCAAAACAGTAACTTCCACGAATATTCCCCTCCCAGACGGGAACCCCTCAGGAACCCCAGACTTCTTTCCCAACCGATACCCAGAGTTAACCGCAAGCAAAACGATCAATAGCATAGGCACCGGGCGCCCCAGCCCCAAACCGATACCAGGTTGCCCTCCTGCTGCCAGAAAACCGAATTCCCGCGCTCATGCTTGTAAAGGAAACCTAAATCCCCAAATGCCATTTTCTTTCTCCCTTGTCTTTTTCCTGGAAGAAGGAAGATTGCTCCGAGGTTGGTTTTCCCACCGCCTTTTCCCAACTGCAGAGGGGCCCGGGCAGGGGCAGGAGGAAGGAGAGTCCCCGGACTCGCAAAAAGGATGTACGCCCCAGCCCTTGTCTTTCTCAGCGTCCCTAGACTCACCTGGGCATGCACAGCCTACTGACATCTTCACATGCCCGGCCTGGCGCAGCAAAGGTGCGACGTGCCCGCTCGGCGGGTCCTGGCATCCGCCGCTCTGAGCGAGACCCCAATCGCTGGGCAAGGCCGCCCCCGATTGTGGGGCCTCCCCGCCGGGAAGCACAGCAACCGCAGTAAGTGGGGCAGCCCGATGCTGCTTCTCCCTCCGCTCGTCGGCGAGTCCAGGGCTGGGCTGCGTTGGCCTGGCTGTGCGCGAGACGACCCTGCGCTCCCACCGACTCGGAATCCGATCGCTGGGCTGATTAATATGCTAATTGCGCGGCGAAGGAAGAGGAGGAGGAGGAAGAGGAGAGCGCGAGCTTGTCAAAGTGACCTGAGCTGAGTGGCGCGCCGCGATAGGGAAGGGAAGGGCGAGGAAAGAGGGGGGGAGGGGCAGCCATGTGACGCAGATGGAGAAAAACACACCAATCTCTGCCACAGTAGCCACCCTAGGCGGGCTCGCGCGAGGAGAGGAAAGGGGAGGGAACGGAAGGGAAGGGAGGGAGGGAACGCAAGGCAAGACGCGCGCTTCCGCGTGTGTGTGTGGTGTGTGTGTGTGTGTGTGTATTGTGTGTGCTAAAAAAAAAGACATGTGCTGACACGTTTGCAGGCAGAGGTACCGTATACGCTTCACTTGTGCGCAGGTTGTTGTTTTTTTTTTAAAGGCGCGAATTGTGACCCGCGTAAGTAAAAGAGAGCCAAAAATAAAAATAAACCCTTCTCATTTTCCTTTCACCGAGGCAGCATTTTTTTAAAAATCCAAACCTCCGTTTTAATTAGAACAGTCTTTTCCCATTTTCCGACGAGTTCAGACTCTCCCGATCTGTTGGGCTTCATGCGCTTATAGCTGAGTATTTCACTGCCTGGAAAGGACAAACTGAAGGTTCCTCCAGATCGCCTGTAAGTCCCGCTTTCCAAGGATGAGCAGACTTTGGTTGAGTAGGCTCTGCTTTGTTATAAACTGTGTAAAATCCTGAGATTTACTAGGTGAAGCCAGGTGCAAAAAGAGAAGCCATACACAGATGCCTTAGGGGCAAAGGGCACTCCAGAAGTGGTTAAGGCTCACAAGTGCTGTTCCACAAAACTGATTCCTCACCATCCTCATGTAGGAACCTACCCTTCTCCTAGAAAAGTGAAATATCCTAGGAAATATTAAAAAGGAAGAATATTTCCCCTAAAAAGAGTAGAAACTGAAAGCAGAAACTCACCTCACAGAGGCAGAAACTCAACCCCCCCCCACTTGTCTAATGGGCATTAAGGCCTAGGCCAGAGTATTCTACATAATAAAGGCCTCTACCCATCTCACCACCTGGCCTGGGAAGATTGTATCAGCCAACACACAGGTAAAGCCATGTGGTCCAGACAATGCCTCCAAAGTTAGGTAAGACCCCCGCCCCTGGGAGTCTGACAGCCAAAGGAATACATTTCTTGCACAGGAACAGGAAACACTAAGGGGGGGCCAACAGAGGGTATATAAGGGTCTCTCAGCAGCTTGGCCCACCCTTCTCTTTTCACCTTGAAGCAAGTGATTGTCCTTTTCACTTTGGAGCTCCAAGACATGTGGTCCTGCCCACCATTAAACCATCTTTCCATACAGCCTCCATGTTTCCAGTGTCTTTTTCCCCACTTGGAACTGAACCCAGAAGGATAATTCTTCCAACACTCACCACTGAGGAAGTGGGGGTTATTGGTTTGTAGGTAAAATGTGTGCAATGATTAGGAAATATCCAATCTATTGCAAATTCTGAGATCTGTAGATCCAAATATCCCTTAAATCTATCATTTAATCAACATGTATCCTTTTATTTTTGCTACTCAACTGTTAAGTAGTTCTCAGATTCAGGTTAAATTATTTGCAACAAATGAAAAATAGACTGCAAAATAATTGTCCCTGAAGTTTACCATTCAACCTAAGTAGCTTTTCCCTCAATTTTTAAGAGGACCCTGTCATTAAGTCATATACACTTAATGGAAGGGTTGGTATCCTCCATTTCCCCTCTATATTGGAATAGCTATAGATCCCAATAGCATTAATCACCAATCACTTTGATTATGACTGATGAGTGTTATAAGACAGTTCTTAAATCTGTACTCCGTGTATGCTACTCCTTCACATTTTTCCATCTTACTTTCTGGGTTCTGATTCACATTTTTTATTGTTCTGGGTTTTTTTTTTTTTGCATTCAAAATTTAGTACATCTTCCAGATTTCCTTTGCTGAGATGCAATCTTTCTGAAGAGTAAGATATTTGGTAATTACTACTCTTAAGGAAGTATAGATCATTTTTCTAATGATATCAAAATAGTGATTCCTAACATAGTTTGATTTATTAGCTTATGATTTATTATGAATATATTATGAATATGTTCAGTTATTTGTTGATTTTCTGTTTTCTACTTATGTATTGACTAATTGTAGGATGTTTTTATTCATAATATCAGTAGAGGCCTTGTAGAAAATCTCTTTATAGGTGTTTTCTTATACAGAACTATACAGAAGTCTGATGATGGCAGATGAGATTCTGCCAAAACGTTGCTACAACTTTAAAAGCACAGTGATAATGACAGTGGGAAAATACCCGAACAAAGCTGAATACCATACATCTCTTTATAGATGTTCATAGTTTCAACTTCACATAAAAATGAATAGATAGGCTTTGATTAATTATTTAGTCCTTCAGGACACTGTAGAAAGTTAGCACCCACCTCTCTCCTAGAAGAATGAAATATTCTAGGAAATATTTAAAAGGCAGAAAATATTTTATTTCCCTGGATGAGAAAAGGAGAAATATGTTTTAAAGACAAAGCAGCTCCCTGCAGCTCCCTGGGTGATGGGATTAAGAATGGCCCTCATCTCACCACATGGCCTGGGAAGATTGCATCAGCCAGCACTCAGGTGAAGCCGTGTGGTCCAGACGAAGTCTACAAAGTTAGCTAAGACTCCCGCCCCTGGGAGTCTGACAGCCAATGGGATACATTTCTTACACAGGAACTGGAAACACTAAGGTGTGGCCCAACAGAGGGTGTAAAACCAAGGGATTCTCAGCATCTCTCCCCCTTTTGCCCAGGAACTCCAAGGCATGTGGTCCTGTCCACCATTAAACCATCTTCCCAAACGGCCTCCAGGTTTCCAGTGTCCTTTTCCCCACCTGGAACTGAACCCAGAAGGTTATTGCTTCCAACAACACATTTCTTATTTAGAAGCATGTCTGGCAGTTCAGTTGAACCAAAGAGGTTGCGTATTAATGGATTTCATGTTTCTTAAATAATGGAGAGACATACATATTATATTGTTATTAAAGAGTAATGTTTTCTATTATTCACCACAATTTTGCCAATACACTTTTCTCAGGTTAATAACTCCCTGGGTTATGGAAATCATGAGAAAGAATATGTATCATATTTTGAGAAAAGGATTGGTCATTTAAAAAATCTAATTTGTTTTAAAAAAAAATACCCAACTCTTCTGTATAAGAGGGGGGGGGGGGGAATGAGTGCTTTGATATAATATGTCTATTTGACCAATCGTTTATCTTTACTTAAAAATAAATCTGCAGATTTGATAAACTAGAGTTAAGGTTAGAATTACACATTCTTTTAAGAATTAGTCTGCAACATAGGATAATTGTATTTTATTTTTCTTTCCTTTAAAGTATTTTGTCAGTTGTATATCACCTTTGCCTTGAATATTCTATTCATTATTAATGTACTTTTAAATGGCTGACCAGAACAGATTCTTACATGGATACAGTAATTCCAGAGCTAGCCAAGCACCACCCCCCATTCCAATAAGAAAGAATGAATGACACAATAGGATTATATACTGTGGGAATAATAGCTAAACACAAGTAAAGCATACTTAAGATAACCTGGACATTTTTTCATAGTCTTACAGCTTATCTCGAACCCTGGAAACTCTCTTCTGCATCTCAGTTAGAAAAACCATTCTACATGGTTGTAACCCTTGAAAATGCACAGAGGCAAAGATGATGTCATTAGCTAAAGTCTCATAGTGCCTATGTCTGGTGAAGAAACCAGTTGGGAATTTTCCAACAGTTTTAGCAAAGGACAAAGAAATCACAGAGGAGATGTCATGGGAGGAGTTGCTGTAATAAAAACATAAAAAGGAGGCCCTATAGGGAACACAAGGTTCCTGCTGACTGGAGTCAGATCCTTCAGCAGGAATTGGTGGTATGAAAGAGATTTCCAAGCATGAGCTCATTTGGCAAACCAGATAGAAAAGCCTGCTTTACTGTTAAAATCTAGTTTTAAGTTAACAGAATGGGAAAGGGAAGACTAGAAAACACTCTTCCGCAGAAGAAATTTCACATAACTTTGTTCAAAATCTCTTTAGTATATTATTGTTTGGCCAACTAATAAACATTGAAGCCATTCTCCTTTACAAGATAGGGTGCTATTTATATTCATTATATATATATATTAATAGTGGAAAAATGACCCTCATTATATGGTGCATTTCTATAATGAATTTACCCAGCAGGAAGTACTTAGAGAATATGTAAGTTGAATTGAAAATACAAGAAAAAATGCTACCTCAAGAATAATTTAAAACAAAATATATTCTTTATATATATGATTCTATTATATATATAATCCAATCATATACATATGATTATATTATAGGGGGGCTATTCAGATATAAAAGGAGAGGAAAATTGGAAAACAATGGAAATTAATTATCTTTCATACACACAGTTCCAGATGAAATAAATAATGTTCAAATTATCTGGTTGCGTAGACTCCTGTTTCAGAGTATATACAATATTTATAAAGATGAAGGAAGAATGACACCCGCTTTTTGATATAAAGAAGCCTCACACTGAGAGCAAAGTCACATGTTTTATAGAAATTCAAGATTAGAAAAACCAACTTCTTAGCAGAAGTCAATATAAAGAAAAATGATACAAGATAAAATAGCTTATAAAAGACACTGGAGAAAGTAAAACAATGTTTTCAAAGATACAACTTATTAAGCTATGGGAGAAGAAGCTACCTTTAAATGAGCTACATTTCACTGGCTAATCTGATCCAATTGATTGACCGGTAGGGTTCAGATGATGAACCTCATCATTTGGTTTGAGGGGGAGAAGATTGAATAGAAAACTTTAGTTTTGGCTCCATTCTGAATTCAAATCTCACAAAGCAGGATATACAGTGTGGGATTTTTGAACATGGATTTTCCTATGAAAATGTAATGATTTATATTTTTCTTTAAAGTCTAAAAAGAACATGGTCTACTGAAAAACTATTTTGATGAATTTCCTGGGTATCTCCAGCTCTTAGGTGATAGCAAGCCTTAGAATAACATGTGTCTTTGTTATTCTTTGCATTCCTACAAGGAGGAATAAGTGGAAAGCAATGTTGCTGATCTACA